GAAAACATTTCATACGCCGACATTTCCTCGAATTTGCTACAGTTGGGTGTACATCACTGTTCTGAAATGAGTATCAGGAGGTTTTGTTCAAATCATGCGATTTCCAGAAGGGGAAATGTATCTGATGCAAAATTAGAGGATTCTATCGCCAGTGCAATTCAGCAGGTATGTGTTTTATTTTGTCTCATGGTCTACACAATAGTATGCAATCTAGCTTAAATATAGACCTATGTGACCTAATGTGCCACCTGGTTCATCAGACAGGCTCGACATATGGTCGAAAGATGATGACCGGGTATTTATTGGCTGACGGAGTGCTTGCCAGTGAACGGCGGGTAGGAAAGATTTTAAAAACAATGAATCGTCCGTATAACGAAATGCGCAGACGTGTAAGTATGAGAGCAAAGTTTAGTGTAGTTGTTAATTAACCAACCCAATACTCTCCAATGTTTTTATTGTGTTAGGCTGATGCTTTTGCTTACACCCCCAGGGCGCCCGTAACCTTAACCCCGTCCCATACCACGCTGATTACATGGGCCACAAAGTCCACATTGACCAGAATGAAAAGTTGATCATGTTCGGAGTAACACACGTTCTGGCAATCGATGGGTATAGCAGTAAAGTGGTGGCCCACGCGACAATGCCCATAAAAAATACCCTCACGATATATGAAGACGTTTACAGGTAGGTTAGCCCAAAGGAAACTAGTCACTAGGCATATGGCGCGCTCCCGTGTCCACTACACACACACACACACACACACACACACACACACACACACACACACAGGATAAAGACACATCTCACACTTGTACACTGACTTTGATGCAAAGAACGCGACAAATGCTCGAGCTGTTGGAACACAGTAGCAGAGTGTAGATCGGAAAATAAATGGAAACTTAACTCCCATACCAAGGTATTCGCTGGTTAGTATTAGCGCCACCAGGTGGACGGAGCGTTGTACTACACCCGTGTTTGGGCAGTTAAAAAAATAAACTCTTCGGATCGTGGGCCCCTGTGAGGACGATCCGGGCCACTGGGCCTAGTTTGTTTGTGAAAACCTATGTTACCGTGCCCATAAACACAATTATTTAGCAAATTATATAATGTACAAATGATTGTATTCAGATATCATTTTTACTATTCTATTATATTCAGAACTTAACCCCCCATTTGCATAGGAGACAATTCTTGTTTCAATGCTGACGATTGCAATTATATATCTAATTCAAACTAATACGACATTTTATTCCCAATCAAGCGGCCCTGCTGTACATGCATGGGATGATCTTCTCCCATTTATCATACTGCATGACAGCATGGACCCAGGCAGCTCCCTCAGCCACAAAGTGCATCGGCTCATTATACAATCAAGCAATAAAAATTATGGACAAGAAACCAACCCGATATCACCACTGCAATATACTCAAAAACTGTCATCTACTGAGTTTTGAAAATTTTATATTATTGTACTCTCTAAAACTAACATTCAAATGCATCAATAACCTGGCACCAGAGCCACTAAGTTCATTTATACAGAGACAGACCAGCAACAGAGTCACCAGAAGTACATCCCACAACAACTGTGCAATTCCACACAGGAGAACCTCATTTGGTCAGTCTGCTTTCTCCATAAAAACGGCCAAACTGTGGAACTCGCTGCCCACTGAACTAAAAAACATATTAGAATTCAAGGAGTTCACCTCAAAGCTCAAGCTGTGGCTGAAAACAAACCAATCATGCACCCATTTCTAAACCTGTAAACAGTATTTTGTGTTTGTGTGTGTGTGTGTGTGTGTGTGTGTACGTGAGTGTGTGTGTGAGTGTTCTCGTTTGTGAATATTTTGCCCATATGGCTGTTATTGGTTGGGGGAATGTCTTAATTTTAGATCACTGTTGTAAATATGTGTTTTAGGGCTAGGCCTATTTTATTCATTCTGTATAATGTGTTGCACTGTAGGGAAAAGCTCAACCAGGGACAGGAGTTGAAAATTAGCATTAGCTATACACTCTGTATGTGTCGCATCAGCTGCATTTTCATAATGTAACTATGTATGACTACATTGTCCCTGTCAAATAAATGAATAAAAAAAAAAAAAAAAAAATTGCAGATCTGCAGTTCTTGAATATGGTATGTGGGACCAGGTGAGAGTGGACCATGGACGGGAATTTTACCTGTCTCTCTACATGCAGGGTTTGCTGTCAAAACACAGACATAACATTCAAAGGGAACCATACCTCCAAACCCCATCAACAAAGGTGAGGTAGTTACATACTTCATTTCCACACTATTGTTTAATAGTAAAATGTGTCAAGGTTTCCAAATTACAAGAACAAGCAAACATGTTATGCATGGACTATTCCTCGTTGGGAGTGCTTGTCACCACACATACACACCATATTTCTTGGATTTCATGGACCACATTGTGTATCCTGTCATCTCCAGAATCATATGATCGAGCGAATGTTGGTTGAAATAAACAACCGGGTAAATTTTCCACTGAAGGGGGCCCTGGTGCAGTTGCAGGATCAGGAAGTAATCAACTTGGAAGACAACATAACCAGATACTGCACATCCAACCTTACTGGTCAGCTATGCAAGATTGGCATTACTAGAGCTGTAAATGCTTGGAATGCACATAGAATTCCAGGTTAATTACATAAACATTGGTAGCATCATGTAGTGGTCCTGTTCAATTCAAACTTAACTGCCTAACAAATTAATACTTTTCACACAGGCAAAGGAACACCAAATCGTCTGGCTGCAGGAGGATGTCCCAAAAAAATAGGACTGGAGTTGTTGCCCCATGCCTCTCAAGCTGCTGACATGTACGAGCAGGATGTTGGCTCCTCCTTGACTCGAGTGTCCTGCTTTGGAGCGGACCCCTTTTCATCAGAGGAGGATAAAGTATTTGCAGAGCAATGTTTTGCAGAGGTGTACCCCAATATTGCAGTTTTATTTGACAACATTGTAAATTACAACTCTGCTCCTTTCCAGGATGCATTGCTATGTCTGATGAACATTACTCAACAATGTGCATGAAATAAGCATGTAGTAGACACTGGTTATGCATCTTTATTTGAAACTGTATGGCTAAATATAATAATAAAATGCATTGTTTCAACAGTGTTTCAAAACTTTCAATACCATTACAATTGTAAATAAATTGTACTTATGTATTTTACATTAATGTAAGAATTATCTATTCATCAGTTTTATAACAAATACAGAGTTTCATATTTATACTAAAACTGCTTAAGATTGCAGTCTTTGGCTCAAGTGCAGATAAACAAATACTGTACTCTGACCTCTGGCTGGAAATAACTGAACTGAACAGGAACATATAACTTCTAAACGGGAATGAATGCTATGACAATACCTAATCCATCCTAATTGCACCAGTCAGTGCAGAGAGGAGGGTGTCAAGACACGCAACTCTGTGAATATTAATTTCAAAATCCTCTGCCCTGCACTTGAGGCATTGCTCAGAGGTCAACAGCCACACATTTGGTCCCACAAAACTCTTTGTGGCATCCATCACAAAAAAAGGGGGCTCTTGCAGCATACAGCGAAGACTGGTTCTTCACATCAGCCCTGTTTTGCCTCTCCAAGTACCAAGACAAGTGAAAACAAAGTATAAAATAAATACTTAGGCCAGAAAGAATGGCCAGTATAACATTCATTAGGGGTGCTATATTTATTTCAATAACAGTAAAATACAATGATAACACTATACATGACAATAAATCAAAGTGAACAGACTATAAACTTATAGTATAAGTGCAATAGAATACTGTTGTGTCTTTTTGTGTTTGGGCGCTTATGTATGTGCGTTTATGCACACGTTTATGTGTAGTTACATTTACAATGTCATTCTGTTTAGTCCAGCAAGCGCTGGGACCATAATTAGACTTTGCCTTCACATTTCTGTGGCTTTTTTGTGGTGCACCGCTGGTCTGCTGCCCCGACCCTCACATGGTCTGCTGCTCTGAGCCTCCACATGGTCTGTGTCAACTCTAGAGACACATTTACTGCTCAAACCGCCTCCAAATGTAGCCTGACTCTGACTATTTTCTTCTATGTCTGCTTCACCTTCGTCTCTCCTGCTTAGAGTGCTCAGGCAGTGATCTTTGACCTAGACACCCACAGAGCTCTGCTGCCAGTGCTGGCTTAATGAAATACTGTCTGCAGCCAAACCCCAGACATATATGATACACAGACGGACAGGAAGAGATTAAAAATAGTGTTGACGTCAATGAGTTAATCTAAATGTACTTCCAGGTTAAATTTAAACATTTATTTTCACATTTTTTCAGTGATTCTTTGCGTACCACTAGAGGGAGTCCCGTGTACCCCTACCCCACTTTGAGAACCACTGCATTAATCAATTCAAACAGTTAAACATAAGTCAAGAAAATGTTACATACCTCTGCACACAATGCAGCGAAATGCATCCTTTACATGTATAGTAAGAGTGTTGCTAAGAAGTAACACGTTGCCCACAGTGCTGCTTGCAAGTGTTGCTAGGTCCTTCATAACTGAGGTAACTCCTGTTAATGCTTGGGCCGCAAGAACCACTTCTTCTATTTTTTCATGGACCTCCTGAAGACCTGTGGAGTCGCTCTCTCTCTGGCCACTGGAAAGTAATTACGAAAACATAAATCACAAAAATAGTAATACATTTATGCACTCAGGCGGACATCATTACTACATGTGATGGTTCAGATGTAGTCATTGAGGCCGAGGGCCAAAGGCAATCACAGCAGGGCTGATACAGAAATGACGGTGGTTTTATTTGGCAAAAAGGAAAAGAAATGTTTTAAGATTGGTCAATCCAGCCAGTGCAAATTCATAAAGATAAGAATTTTAGCTGTAAAAAGTCTGAATGATTGACAGACTTGATCCACCCACATATTGATTTATTCATTTTTTATAAATAAGTCATAATGTGGCATACCTTTAAGGATTATTATCATGTAGTCTTTAAGTAATTACATGCTTACGTCTGTTTCTTTCCCTTTGTTCCCTGCTGGAATTGATGGAAGACCTGCTCTGGGACAGCAAAAAACTTTTTGGCATTTTGCCTCCAGTATTTGGAACCTAGCAAGAAAGGAAAATTAAGTAATAGTTGTAAACAGCTTGGTGAGCACGGTATTTAAGTGAAATATCACACACACACACACCTCGTGTTCCCTCTGAATCCACAATCTCATTTCCCTGAGCATCTGTCAGGACAAAAGGGTCCTCACACTGCAGGGCATCATGTATTTTAGCCAGTATACCAGTGATGGTAGCTTCAAACTCAAGCAGTCGTACGACAACCATTCGGGCAGGCCTCAGCTTTCCCTGGTTGAGCTCAGCAACGAAAACAGTCCTAGAGAGATTGTTATAGGAATTGTTCAGATAATTCATGGCAAGCAATATGATTTGATAAAACATTCTTGGTGGAAGAAGTTTGGCAACATAGTACAACACAGAATGACATGACATGACACTTTTTAGGTTCTCTTTTAAGCGCACAGCCTAAACATGAGCCCAACCCCCGCTTTATCCTGGTCATGGCCTTTGCATGCCCTGGGCTATTGAACAAATATGACAAGAGATTAGTCAGTAGCATGTTAATTAATGATAAAGTGAGTAACTACCTTTGAAATGAAGTGTTCATGCTTGCGCGAAGGGGAATGCTGCAAGCCTGCCCAGGTGATCCCAAAGCAGCCGTTACAGTTGCGCTACTTCTCTGGAACTGGAACCGGGTCCCTGATTGTGGTACCTGTTCTGCCACGGGGAGAGCGATGTCGTCCCCGTGGACTTCGTAATGCCCACGAGGGCGCAGGTCGAAACAGCTGAAATGCCCCGCTCGTTCCGGGAAAAATTGCGACGTTGTCATCATCTGTTATATACAGGCTAGGAGCGTATACCTTTGAAATAGAAACACTTTATGAACGGCACGTACAGCCTCTTCTTACTTTGTCCATTGCAGTTCGCCATACAGATAAATCTTATTAACTATATTACATGATGTCAAAAAAAGTTCCCTAAGCAACGTGTATGCAAACTGTAATGTTAGCATCCTTAAAAAGTTAGCATGTTCTACAAGTAAACCAGAAAGGTGTTACCCACCTGGAATATGCGGGCAATTTTTTCCGCAATCATGTCATCCTCTTTTAAAGTCAGACGCTTTGTTCCTTTGAACAAAATGTAGTTTGGAGCCCGTCCCATTTCGACTCAACTCTACTCCCTTAAACTTGCACGTGTCGTGGTCTCCTCTGAATAGTGAGCAAACTGACTGAAGGGGGCGCCAACATTTTCTCTTCCGGGCCACCACACTGAAAACCCTAAAAATGAATGTTGTAAAACAAAAATTGAAATACAAGACCTTTCACCTCGAACCAATTTCTAAGTCGGAAAAAATTGAGGAAGAAGGTTTTTCAATATTTTTTTTTCAACAATGGAAAAAAGAAAAAGTCCCAGAGTTTGTTTTTCGATGTGCACGTCAGAAACGAAAATAGAATGAACGGAAGGTACACGGACCAAGCAGGTTCTTTGTCCCCGGGTTTAAAAAGGAGACCACTGGGTTAAAAGCAAATTAAAAACGATTTATCATAAAATACATTAAAAAGCAATAGAAAAAACAACACAACCCTCGCTATAAAAACACGGAGTAAAAAGCTAAAACAGAGGCTAAAAATCCTTCTGGCCACGGCCTGGGCCGCCAGACCACGGGGGCTCTCCCCACGCCCGTTTGGCCCACGTCTCGCTCTGCAGCTTTCCTTTTTTTCCTTCCCCCCTCCCCATCTCCGTCTTTTATGCTCAAGGCACAGGTGTCTTGATTGTCCATCACGTGGGGAGCCGGGGTGCTTCGGGTGGTGTGTGTGAGCAAATAAAACACACAACCTGCATAAAAAGTCTAAAAACACAAAGCAAACGTTAAAAGACCCACCACCCTTTTGCACCCTCTGACATATGCGCCAAAGGCTGTGCACCATAATTTTCGTCCGGTTGGAACAGCAGAAAGCAGGCTGCATGCATAGCCAAAGCAACGGAACAGGACCTTTTACTTGTTTTAAGGATTCTTGGACTCGTTTTGTGGAGCTCAACTGTATTTTCCAGACAGAATCTTGCACACAGCCTTTATAACAGACGAGAGACAATGCTGACAAGTCATGGATGACAGTTGTAACATGCAATTGTATCATGTGTGTGTATGAGTTTACCTTAAAGCTTAAATACAAATATTGCTCATTTGTATTCTTGTACCGGATTAATGTGAACCTTTAGGGGTTAGAGAAAAGATCAACAATTTGCCACAGCACCTGGAGTTATGTTAAACCTTATGAAAACATATTACTTCCCTTTAGTAAACTTCGAAGGGAGACATTACACCCAGACTTATCTTAACATCTAGTCAATATGTAAAGATTCAAACCAGCATACATTTGTGAGCGTAATCAAATAAAACAAGTTACAAAATACTTGAATGGAATGAATGCATTTGAAGAAGGCAAGTTTAGGCAACGTTTATAATGGCTTCAAATTAAACAGAATTCAACCTGAGCACAACCTATAGGACCTGACTTTAACTGTACCTTTGGGTAACATTTTTAAAACATTAACTAAATAAATCTAACAACTGGGGTGTCAAACTCATTCCTAAAGAGCCGCTGTGGCTGCAAGTTTTCTATCTGTCCTGTTCCGTTGCTTTGGCTATGCATGCGCCTGCTTTCTGCTGTTCCCAACCGGACGAAAATAATGGGCACAGCCTAAAACAAAAAATCAAATCAAATAAAAGCTCAATATTTTATTTCATTTTTTGCATCGAAACGAAAAAATCAAACATCAGACCAATTTTTTTGTTTTTCCTTTTCCTCATCAAAATGAAAAATGAAAATTCAAGCCATTTTTGGATATTTAAATTATAATTTGAAAAAACGATTGATCGAAAAATACACGGACCGATTAGTATTCTCTTTGCAGATAAAGATACAATAATCCACCCCTCACTGCAGCACACTGCCTCCCTCTCCCCATCAGGAGGAGCTTGTTTGGCCTCTATCTCAGCATGAAAGGATGGGCACGAAACGGCTGCTTCATGGATAATATCAGCTGCAGAAAACTAAAAGAGGTGAGACCGCTGCTGCTGCTGAACATTGGACGAACCGCCTAAGCTAACACGCACGCAGCAGGACACAGGCTGCTAATCCTTTCCACTGAGATTTGTGAAATGCGTTCTCTCTGGAACAATCTTTTCATGAGCTAATCCCTACCCACATTTTCCTTTTCTATCACTTACTCTCACACCAAGCACATGTTCAACTTAATGCAACTCAAACCAACTGAATGTGCTCTTTATCGCCAGACAAGTTGGACTTCTGTAACATGTGCTTCTTTGATCAGGTTGTAAAGCTGTATTTTTTTTTACAATTACATCAAAGGCTAGGCTTGACATGATGATATTTAAATGATGTATGATGATGAAGTGTGGAAGTGTATCTACCGTGTATGGAGAAAACTTGAGTTGATGTGATGAGAGGAAACTGAAAAGATGATCTCAACAAAAATCGGGTTTGGCAGTTCCTCTTGTGTCATCGCTCCACTGCTGCACTGACAATTGAGAATGAGGGTAGACATGGTTTGTGTCCTACTCTGTGATCTTATTCTGCCCTATGTTCCCTCTCGTGCCCTCAGGTTGGCCGATCAGCTGATTGCTGGTGGTCCCTAAGACACAGCGTAAGCTTCGTGGTGACCGAGCCTTTTCTGTTGCACGTCCACGTCTTTAGAATCAGTTACCCATTGAGATCAGACAGGCTCAGTCTCTGCCTGTCTTTAAGTCACTTCGTAAAACTTATCTTTTTTCATGTGCTTTTGATAATGTTTGATTTTAGGTAATATTGTTTTATATATGTATTGTGTTTGTTTTTGTGTACAGCACTTTGCTGAACTGTAAAGTTTTTAAAGTGCTTTATAAATAAAGCTGGTATGGTATGGTAATGGTATGGTCTGTTGCAGGGGGTGCTCAATACGTCGATCGCGATCTACAGTCATCGATCGCAAAGGTAGTATTGGTAGATCGCATTAAATAAATAAAAAATTACACATTCTAAACTAATATATACAAAAACTACCGGGCAAAGTGGAGATTTTTGAAAACTCCGTTAATGCATTTGTGTGTAGACAGAGATAACCGGAGTTTTGCGTTCTCGCACGACACAGTACCCCCCCTAAATTTCCTCTGATCACTGAAGCATGGATATCATACATACCTTAAAAACTGTTCGCTGTGAGATGCTCGCCAGCAGCGAACATCCTCCACATCAGAGAGCAGCAAAGTGATCGCGGGGACTCACGCTCGAAAACAACCAAACCAGGACTAAACCAGGACTAACATCAGGCTGAGGACGGGGTCAGTGCTTGTAAACATACGTCTTTACTCTGAGTGTCTTCTTATGGACTGTATATAAGTGCCGTTACCGGCGTCTGCATCAAAGCTCCGCCCACTTCCGTGTTTTTCCCCAACGCAGACAGGACGTAAGAGCCGCACATGTTTGGAATGTTACGAATGTGATTGATAACGCAGATGTGTGGATGCAAATTATTTTATAAACGGAGGAGGGGAAATATTTGGATTTAAAAAAAACAGGCATGGCACATGGACATGGCACCACAGTTAAATGACATCTGTGTTTTACTCAGTAATGTTTTACTGACACTTAGGTGACTGCACATGCGCAAACAACCGCGCTCAGTGCAGGAAAGCAAAAACCACGACAAACTTGTCAGCGAGTTACCACCAATTTTCCGGACTATGCATCCCTGGCCGAGTTCAATTCAGTGCAAGTCATAAGAGTAAACTCGGAGTAATGACAAAAAATGTACATAGGTAATTGTGTTTGTTGTGCTATATTGGCTCATGCGGTTTTGGCATGTACATAAACATACATTGTAGATATAAAGAATATTTTTTGAAATAAATATATGATTTGCATTTTGTAGTAGGTAGATCATTTTGACTTGATCCTTTTATAAGTAGCTCGCCATGCTGAAAAAGTGTGAGCACCCCTGGTCTGTTGGGTAGAGGACCCCTGCGTTTTAAAAACTTTTAAAAACTGCCTCAAATAAAAATACTACTACTACTACTAAAAGAGATTGAGGAAAGATGAGCAAATTCTCAATATTTTAATTTTGTGGTTTTGGTCTGTCAGTTAAATTGTCACAATAAAGGCTGGGAATTCGATCCATTTCCATATCGACTCAATTAGCTCGCCCATTGGCAAATACGTTAGCATAAAGAATATTGTGCTTTATGTGTGTTCATCTTGGTCACATGACCTTGAGAATATTGATTTATTATTACATATTTCATGTGGTTAGTGGAAATGTCCCGTTCCCATTATAGAATTTATAATAATAGATTGGTCAGGACCCACAATACATTATGGTCAGAGTGCAAAACATTCTTGTCTTGGTATAGAACTGGGGACATAATTTTTTGTTTCTATTATTCATGGCCCACATCTTACAGGCAACAACCTAAATTAAGGCACACGCTTGAAATATTTTGGGAGAAAGCATTAAGATACTTTGTTGTATTGCAAAACACCTCTCAGGTATGTAATGGTGTGGCCCAGAGTAGATACAAAGTTTGAAAACAGAGCTGTTCTTGAATGTCAATGTCAAAGTTAGTTTTATTGTGTAGGAGCACATTTAAAACATCACCAGCTGCCGAATACGTTTCACATGCACAAAAAAAAAAGAAAACAGCATAAAATACGCACAACTACAAATACGCACAACTACATATAAAATGAAATGCAGTAAAAACTCAGTTGGTGTTAAAAGCTTAAAGCGTAAAATTGTTGTCTTTAGACTAGAAAAAAACAAACCTCCGATGAAGGAGCTCGTTGGAGGGTAACCTATGCCACAGTTTGGGGTCAGCAGCGGCAAAGGCCCGGTCTCCTCCTCCTCTGTATGTGCTCTGATCAGGCAATAACCCAAAAAAACACGTAATCTTTAATCAACCCTGGCCCATCACAGTATTTCACCGGACTTTCTCCCACTTATCTGCCATCCGGGCCCCTCCACACACCCACTTCCTACAGGTGACCTTCTGCCTTCTGCTCAATGTGCACTGTAGGAAGTGAAGAGTACTGCTGAGCCAAGTACAATCGACCACAACACGTCTTAATGAAGCATGTAATTACAGAACCCCCCTTTGGCACCACATACGCCGGGGATCGTAGATTCCTGAGACCAGCATTTTCTCTGTCTGTGGAGTATGAAATGAGAATGGCAGAGACGACCACAAATGTCAAAGGTGCTAAATAAAGTAATTGCACGCCCATATATGCAAGTCTATACTGGCTGAGTAAAGAATAAGAATAAGAAAGTAGCTAATAAGATCCAATGGAAGACCAGCGGGACACTACTGTCAGGTTTGAAGTGTAATAGAGATTGGGGCGACAGTGGTTTCAGGTTGGCGGAGCATTGGTCATTGAACCTAATGGTTGGGTTTGATATTGCATGCCCCCGCCCCCAAGGTTGTGTCTTTGCCATCTTCCTGTGGACCCACTCCACCTGCGGGAGAATCAGTGAGGGAGCTGGTGCTCTGAGCATTGGGTAGCAGCTCTGATTGCCTCCACTACCATTTTGTAAACTGTTGCCAAAAAAACACAATTTATTTGCCACATTGTTACAACAACAACGGTCGAACCTGTTTCCACTTAATGTTTACTGAGATGTTATCTACAAGTTAACTAGGATACACCTCACCCTTGTCCCACTCTCTGTTTCATGTACGACAATGGGATCTCTGAGCCTGTCCTCCTCCATCTACACCTGCGGACTGTTCTGCCTGACCTGCCTGGGAGTGCTTCAGTCCTGCACCGGACCTGTCCACGTTCTGCGGCTGCTGGTCCACGTTCTGTAGCTTAGGTCCTGGATCTATAGCCCGTCCGTCCGTGGGAGCGGATCCCTTTCTCAATATGGGTCTCCCTGAGGTTTCTCACTTTTTTCCCACTGGGTTTTCTTATGAGTTTTTCCTTGCCGATGCAGGAGGGTCTGTTGGACAGTTAGTGTCCAACTAGAAGGACAGTGGTGATGATCCAGGACACTTTAACATTCTACAACATGTATGGACATTTTCTATATGTGTTCTATATTCTTTCTGTGTTTTAACTGATGATTCTCTGATCTGTGTTGGTGATTTCAATGGTTTTCGTTAAGTCCTCTGAGATGACTTCTGTTGTGATTCAGGGCTATACAAGAATAAATTGTATTGTATTGTATTGTACCTGTGGTAAACTCAAATTTAAGTTTATTTGGAGAGGGGCACAGTTCTGAAGAAAGATACATAAGAAGTGGCAGTATTGAAGCTTCTATGGAACATAATGCCTT